ATATCAAAGCTGGCATTTTATCAGACTGCTTTAGTGATCACTCTGTTGTGTACTGTGTATGGAAAATCAAAATCCCAAAAGCACCACCAAAATTAATTAAAATTAGACAACATAAGAAAATGAACATAGACCTATTTATTAACGATTTGATTTCTATTAATTGGGACAGGTACCAGTTAATACCAACTGTCCAGGATTCCTGGGACTTTTTACACTCTGAGCTCACTCAAGTAGTTGATAAACATGCACCATGGAAAATTTCAAAGGTCAAGGTTCGACACCTACCCTGGATAAATGCAGACCTTACAAGAACCTTTAGGCAAAGGGATAGGGCTTGGGCTAAATTTTGTCAGACAAGGGAACATGCTGATTGGGAAACATACAGGAAACTGAGAAATATCTCCAAGACTATGATGCATAATGCTAAATCTAATTATTACAAGGAATGTCTCTCCAATAACTTCAAAAATCCTAAATAATTCTGGAACAGTAAAAAACCATAATAAATACTAAAGATAAATGTCCTATTAATAAAATACGTAATGGAAATGTAATATCTCATGACCCCTTATATATTGCCCAAGTGTTCAGTCAGCATTTTTCCTCTGTCTGTTCTGACCTAATACCCGATTCTACTACTCTCACAGCTTCAATAATTTTTTATTCTCTCACAGTACTTTTTCCTTTACGAAAATAACACCTACAGAAGTTCAAAATGCTATCAAGCAATTGAGTCTCAGCAGTGGTGCCGGTCTTGATGGGACTGAGCCCCGATATATCAAATTAGCCTCTCAAATTCTGATGTTTCCACTTGCTGACTTGTTTAATATGTCTTTAGCTACCTGTGAGGACCCAGTAATGTGGAAATATTCCTGAATTACCCTGATACATAAAGGTGGTGACATCCTCGATCCAAATAACTATAGGCCTATATCGATAATCTGCACTATTGCTAAAGTATTTGAAAAACTAATTTTTAATCAATTATCTCATTACCTTAAGATTAACAATATTCTATCGTCATTTCAATCCGGATTCAGACCTAATCATTCAACAACAACTACTCTCTTAAAATTGTGTAAATGATTTATTTTCAGCGTTTGATTCTGGTAATCTCACAGGAGCTATTTTCATCGATTTCAAGAAGGCTTTTGATTTGGTTGATCACTATTTACTCCTTGATAAGCTTCATGCAGTTGGTCTATCTCAAAATGCAATTTTATGGTTTAATTCTTATTTACATAACAGAAAACAATGTGTTGTTATTCAAGGGTGCAAGTCTGATTTATTTGTTCAACAAAGAGGTGTACCCCAGGGTTCAACACTTGGTCCACTTCTTTTCTCAATTTTTATCAATGAGCTCCCTTTAATTTGCAGATGATACTGTCATTTATGTCTCTAAACCTAACATTTCACAAATTCAAACTGCTCTTCAATCAGACTTTGATATTCTGCAAAACTGGCTTTTATCCAATAAACTACTGCTCAATAAAACAAAATCTTACACTATGGTCTTTGGCACAAAACATAACCTCAGAATAGGGCTGCCACGATTAGTCGACTAATCGATGACTCATCGACTATTAAAATAATCGGTGACTATTTTAGTAGTCGACTAATCTGTTTGAGTCATTTTTCATAGAAAAGTACTATAAAAGTACCCCAAAATACTCTTACTGCAGCTTCTTAAGTTCAGATATTGGCAGCTTTACACACTCTCCCGTGACAGTGAACTAAAACCCTTCGGCGTGAGTATGAAACAAGACATTAGATGACGTAATTTTGGGGTTTGGGTGCGACAGACTGACGTTTTTCAACATTTTAACACATTTTTCGATGAAATGATTAGTTGACTAATCGAAGAAATAATCGACAGATTAGTCGACAATGAAAATAATCGTTAGTGGCAGCCCTACCTCAGAACAAAATCTAGTAACTTAATAATAACATGTAATGATGGTTCTAACCTGCATAGAGTTGATCAACTCAAATACCTTGGTTTATGGCTTGACTCGGAACTTACCTTCAAACCTCACATTGATCATATTCTTCCTTCTGTTCTCTTCTCACGGAGGCAGCTATCGACGGACATCACCCAGCTAAGTTATGCCCAGCTAAGTGAACACTCAACTTTGTTTCCCATTTAATTTGAGCTCCAACTGGCCGCATCATTTCCATACAGTACTGTTTATTCTAGAATTGGGACTGTTTACATGTGCATATTGGTATAATTCCACTGTGTCTACTGTTGTTTGTACTGATACTGTACTGTGACTTGTTTGTACTGGTATTGTGCATTCTGGTATAATTATTTGCATTACTATTTGATTTTTCTTCAGATAAATCTGATAATTGTTGCTCGGTCTCTTTACTCATTTATTTAGTAGAGTGTCCACACACCTTCTCATTCTACATATACATAGAGGTATACCGATGGCTTTATAGCCTACATTTTATTGATTATCTCTGATCCCCACGGTCAATTTGGTTGTTGCAACAGTGCGACGCAACACCACTGACGCTAGGTGGCGCCAAGCTAAAAAAAACAAACGAATCCTATCTGCTGCCTCTTTAATGTAAATGAAGTCACATTATTTAACATAATTAATTATTATTGTTAATAATTATTAATTATTAATAATTATTATTATTATTAATATTTATTAATTATTTCAAACACCAAATTTGATACTTTCATTGGAGATCAATTACGGGGTCAGGCCCGTGTTAAGGCTTAAGTCCCGACAAATGGTGCCGCCATGTAAAACGTGGCACTGATGCCTAGATCACAACAAATGGTATCTCCTCTTTTACAGTATCACCAGTAGATCCCCCACATTTTCGGTGCCTCCGTTTGACACCCAGTATTGTTCCCAACATTTATAGTGTTCCCCCGTGAAGCCTACCAGTATAATTTACAACATTAATGGTGCTGCCGTGTGAGGCCCAGAATTGTTTCCAACATTAATGGTGCCCCGTGTAAGGCCTACTATTATAATTTACAACACTAATGGAGCCCGTAGGGAGGCATAGTACAGTTGACATTCATTCATATAATATGCAATATTAATATCAGGGTACATTTTTTGGTTCAAACCAGAAATTGTTGATTCCATATTGAGACAACTCAAAAGTCTTTACATTCACACCACTAGTCTGCTACAGCAGTAGACATTCAGCTGTACTTCCAAACAAGTACATTGTGGTGACAATTAACTGATTCATAAAGCTAAAGCAAACTGAGAGACATTGTGTTACTGATCACTGCTATCTTTAAGCCCTCATAATGTTACACTAGTTTGCTATTGCTGCTGGCTTTTCAAGTTGACCTACCCTGTAGAAACTTGTAAGATTTTGGTTCAGCATTTGAA